TGTGGGGGGGGGGGGGGGGGAACCGGTAAATGAACCGTGACTTTGATTTGCTAGAAGCACAATGAGCCATAAATAACATCAGAAAATTCCAGATTGCTTCTGGCTTTTTTTTTTCCCCCAATTGACATTTCAGAGTTTGAAGGACCAGAAGGCAGACTTACGCTCTTCACCTCCAGAATCAGGTCAACATACCTCTACCACTTCTTCCCTATAGTTACATATACGCAAAAGATCTAAGAGTACAAGATCAGCTCTACTACAGGACTGTGTGTTTGCTCAGCAGTGCTCAGTTTTGGGCTAGGTAGCTTTTAAATTGAAAGTAATGATTTTAAATTAATTTTGGTTGCTTTTGTGAGGCCTGCATTAGCCCCACAAAGGCTAACAAGCTATCCAAAACACACCTGGGGACCCTTTCCTACTCTGGAGGAGAGGGACTTACAGCCTCTTCAATCTTCTAGTTAACAGAAGAAAGAGCAACACAAATCTACACCTCTGAAACATCACCACATTACCTGAAAGAGATCTCATGTTACAGTTTTGCCCCTTTTAATCTCATCTAGCTGTTTCAATCCCCACATTTTGGATTGATGGTTTGGGGAGGTTTAGCTTGGTTTTGGCATGCTATCATCGCACCACCATTACTTTCACCTCCAAAACATGACGGAGACAAGAGGAATGATGCGCAGCCTTAATCCAAATCAAACCTTCATCGACCTCACCAAATGAAGACAAAACTTCACACCAATGTCACTGTGGTATTCCCTTAAGTTTATGAGCTTCCTGAACTCTTGATGGGGTCTGTCATTAGGGCACGGCGTATGAGGCATTTTCGCCTGGCACTACCCTCCACACAGGGCAGCCGGCTTCAGCGTGCACCCAGATTCCCACTCTGCCCCACACTCGCCAGCCACATTTCAGATTAGAAGCCATTTCAAATGTGCCTGGCACATACTCTAAACATGACAGCAAGATGCAGTTTGAAACCAAAAACGGTTATCATGTAATTCTCTTTTTACTCATGTCTCTCATAAAGGAAAACGAAACCAAACAAAAACAAAACAAAAAAAAGAAGAAAAGAAAAGAAGGGTTGGAATCAGGTGTGGGAGGGGGAATGGCGTAACATTTATTAATCAAAATTAAAAACTAAGCATGCTGACATCTGGAGCTAGAACAACCAGCAAAGTCACCACGTTCAGACTCATATTGGCTAGTTCTATCCATCCCAGCATTCTCTTGGGACAGCAGTTCGCCCTAGGCTCTACCACAAGCTCAGTGAAGTACACAGCCTCAAGTACTAGAGCGTGCAGCCACAACAACCTGCTATTACGGAAACAGTCAGTCACCACTGGAGTTAACATTCCAACCTTAACGACTCCCACAGCCTCCCGCCCTCGCCCCCCAAAATGGCTCCCACCCTAGCCCTGTCCCACACCACAATGTTAATAATTATAACAAGCAATAACCCATCTGTTATATCAGAGAAGGGAACAGAGACTCCACTGAGAGATTTAGAGCGGGATGTTAACATTTCTTCAGTCAACTGCACAACAAACAAAAAAAACAGGAGAAATAATTCATTGGAGAAATGAAGTTAAGAAATAGCTGACGTGTATTGCTTTTTAACCATGCACTGATGCAAAATTGAAGCTACTGTTAATTAAAAAAAAAAAAAAGTCACAGGATAGAGGTACACACACACAGGCAGACCTGCTCAGTTCAAAGCGGTCTGTAAATTCTACTTGTGTGTACTTCAAATAAAACCAAAAATGGGGATTATAATGGCCATGGTACATTCCTGTCAAAGGAGCAATGAGTGTGGACAGCTGGGGGATTTCTGACACGGGGATGTATTTAGCATGACCAGCAGGTCCAAATACACCAAAACAGGGTAACGGAAAGAGGAGGAAAGTTGCAACTATTACTCGTTATTTCGTAAATGCTTTCACCAAGCTCTGGGACCAGTACAGAGTAAAGGAGACACTGTGCAGGTTGCCTTACCCAGCTGATGCTCCTGTTCTCCATAACCCAGGACCCACCTATAACTCCATCCATGCATCTAAAGCCCTGCTCAGCTTGTCCAATGCACCAGTTATTTTCTCCTGCTATTCCTGTTCACACACAACTTTAACTGGTATGCAGAGCTCATCTGTAACCTCAGCTACGTGGTCCTACCACCCCTAGTGGTTTCTGATGCCACTCACTATGGGTACTCTAGTAAATATAAACTATAACAGAGTAGAGCATCTTCAACAAACATGAACAATCATGTTTCCCAATAAAAGAAATAATAATAATAACAATTAAAAAAAAAGGCCCTTGCTAGCTGCACCACACTCCTCCAGTGCCACAGCGAAACTGCAACAGAAGACACCATTGAGTGGCATAGTCCCTGAAACCCAGGACAGCCATGCAAACTCCCACTCCATCTATTTAAGTGAAGTGATTCCACAGGGACAGTTTTACCCATCTAGGTTCAGCTTTTAAAATCTTTAGCCTCATCTCAAAAGAAATGAGTGTGGCTGAGCTTCTTGCAAAGATGTTAAGTTAGAGATGTTTCTATCAAAGGTACAGTTTAAACACTGCCTCGGCAAGGAAATAGGGGAACTAAGGAAAAGGCTTATGCATTTTTACTGGGCAGTAAGTAACAACCAAAAGGACTGTCTAAATCAAGATTGGTCCTTTCCGGTACAGTCTTTTGGATTGTCTGGGCAGCGTGTGAGAGAGATGAATACAACTGTAAGTGTTGCTTATCTTAATTCAAGTTCTCTTTCTCTGGATATCCTGCCAGTGTTGCTGGGGCTGCATTAAACCCCTTTCCCCATGTGAACATGTAGCGCTTGAGCCTATAGATGTCAATTGTCAAACAACCATATTTGCTCAGGTATTCACAAAAGCCCAAATTTAAAATGACTCTTCTGTGATGTTATCGTCCTTGGCTCATCAATGAAGCATGAAAATATTTTTTTTAAATTCCTTCTTTAACATTAGATGATAGCTTTTTCAATATTGTCATGTATTCTCTGAAATAACACAAGCATGGCAAAACAACATATACAGGAAGCTGCAATCCCAACTAAAGCAGCATTCCAATTACTGAGCATGTTAATGTAGATAAATGAGCACTTTAAGACTATACAGTTCAGCTCAAAATAAGCCCATCTTCTCTTCCACTCTTCAGGTCCATATTAGGTGATCAATCCAACCAGAACATGAGGAAATCCAAAACTAGAGCTTACTATGTCAGTGTAGGCTACGGTATAAGCATCCCTTTTCTTCTTCCCTTGCTGCCTTAGATGGGCACACAAAGCGTGTTGCTGGCCCTCTTTACTCCAAAGAGCCTTTATGCCACTAAGACACAAAAGTGTTCCCATACCCCTGGAGAAATGTGTAACTCATGGTACCAGTTAGATACGTCTGACCACCTGCCAGGTTTAGGCAGCAAGCCCAATTTTAGGATCTTTTATTTGTTGTATCTCAAATGTGTCATCTCCACCCGCAAACTGCCCTATAACAGAAGTTAAGAAGCAGAAAGGGCTAGAACTGTTCCAGTATTTCTGTATTAGAAGGGTGGCATATGTGCACCAGGAATGAGCATGAATGAATTAAAAGAGGTGACAGGACAACGGTGTCCATTGCAGCAGGTGCTTCTACATGGTAATGGGACAAGCATGACCTTATTAACCCTTCCATTGAATTTATGTTTTGTTTTTTTTTTTTTAATGAAAGCCACTCGGTGTGAAATCTGGACACACGCCGCCCTGCCATAGCGGGGGCTTGGATCACACTTGAGTCTGCGCTGCCCTAACAAAGCCTCTGTTCCCATCTCTAATGTGGTGCTGGAATGGTTAGTATAATTCAGTTTTTTCCACTGCAATCCACAATCTGATCGGTTGGCAGGTCACACTGGCACTCCTACCTGAGGTATTTTAGCGCTAATGATTGGTTCCTGTAAGACTATTCTATAACAGAACACAGGAAGAGCAGTTCAAAAAAACACAGCTGTGGAAAGAAACAATCATACAAACAGCCCGCGGCGGGGCTCACCAGCCTTTTCTTTCCAGTGGATGCAAGCACGCTTTTCACAGGCAGGAGCAGTCTTCGCACAGGTGAGTTTGTTTGGGTTTCCCCCCCGCCGCCCAGATTGACCCCATTGTAGAAGAAAGATAACCTTTCTTAAGATCCGAAATGAAACCCTCTGCATCCTGGGGCAGGTTGTTTTATGAATTCAGGTGTCTTGCCAGAGTGGGACGCATCCAACAAGAGATGGAATGCCGTCTTCACAGAAGAAATGGCTAGCAGGATGGTTGCCCCAGGAAAGAAAAAAGGAATGAGGAAGAGGAGGAGGAGGAAAATGAGAAATCAGTGCATAACGTGTATGCAGAAAAAGCAGCCCAAACTTGGGACACTTCCCCTTCATCTTGCCTACCACTAACCACTCCCTGTCAGCTCAACTGCTTTCCACCCTTCCTTGACACAACCCTACGGACTCAGAAGACCTAGGGGAACCTCAGTTTAACTTTCCCCCCAGTCCTAACTGCAGTACCCCCTGCCATCCCTTCCGCAATCAGGACAAGCCTTTCACAGCAACCAGAGGGACGTAAGCACTGCATTGAAAAGCACGACAAATCAGTGGGGCACAGGGACACTGTAATCATTCCACCTGTGCCAAGCAAATTGTTTGGAAGGGTAACTTCATGTTTGGATTATAACTTTTTCCTGAGCTCCATCGGGGGGCTCTGGGCAGCGATAACATAGGGAAAAACACCACCATCTACCTTAATGAGTCCCCTCTTCTATCGTCCTGCTTTCTGACAGTGAGACCACTGCCAACAACAGCAAAGTCTTCAGAAGTCCACCTAACTGTTCTAACCTGACTTGGGGGCTTGGTTTTGTGTTATGTGATGCTACCACCGCAGCACCAAGTGGTTACGGGGATTCTTCATTATTGAAGTCTCTGTCCTTAAAACATGTTAAATAAGCCTCTCCTCCCCACCTGCAATGGAAGCTCTGAAGGAGCTTTCTCAAAAGAAATAGGGAGTAACCCTGGCTAGCCTTCCCTTTCAACACGACAGCCTCTTATATGCCACACACTGAGGGAAGAGGCACTAAGCATTGCTCATTTGCTTGCTTACTTGCTGTAGCAAAGTCAGTGGTCTATAAAGCTGGTGTTTTAGGAGTGAGGTGGGAAAACCCAGAACCCTCTGTAGTCCTTGACACAGTTTTATAAAGGAACACTTGACTAGGCAGATCAATTTTTAAAGGACTGTGCACACGATAGTATATGTAAGAATGAAGAAATGCACCCAATCTCTCTATGCTCAGAGAGCATGCCTTCCAACTGCTGTAACTGTGTTGGGTAAAGTGCCTTTACAAGACTTGACCCTCCATATAAGCCAACAAAATCCAAAAGCCAATTCCATCCATTTTCTTGAGTCTAACCCCAGGCTCCTCTTTATAAATGTCAGGAGTAGCACCTTCAAAGGAGCGGGGATATGAAATCCACGCCGACAACTGTGCCACTACCCAATACAAAACTGCCCCAGCTCCAAAGAGCTATTACCTACAATACCATGAAAGGGAACTCTGCTAGAGGTAGGCAGGCCACAAGTTGCGATGGCAGTAGTGGACCTGAATGTTTTGGCTTTGAAAGGCATATTCCTACCACAGCTGCTCTGCAACAGCTCTCCATCGGAGAGGAAACCGCTTTTCTCACTGGCCAGTCAGAATCCCTCCATCCACAACCCACCTACGTATACACAGATGCCCTGGAGATTTGCAATACGGACTGGCTGGGTAGGACAAAGACAATGACAGGACAAAGTCTCCCATGGTATCAGAGCTAATTCCCAGACAGGAGGAGGCTGCTGACTCTTCTAACCGAACACCTCCACATATTTGTACTTTACAATTCCCCAAAGAGGCAAGAGAATCTAGCCTATTTAGGTACCATTTCTACCAGCAAAATGAGATGTCAGTTTTCACTCTAGCATCTCGGTCTCCATTTTTAATCAGTCCCAGTGTCTTCCCCAAAGGGATAATCTCCACATCCCCATGGCACATGAACATTTTTAAACATACAGCTCGCTCAGTTTAGTGTGGGCTGCACAAATCAAACCTGAAAGGGCCCCAAGAGGGGAGAGAAAGGGGAGGGCGGAGGGGGAGAAGGAAAGGGAAGGTCTGAGGCTAAACCAGTCCTGTTATTTTTACATCCAAATTATGTAAACGAGAGAAGTGTTGAGAGAAATTTTAATTCGCTAATCATCTCTCAGGCTGATTAGTAGCAGTGTGCATGTGGGGGACAGGACACCCAGTAAACTGACCCTGGCAATGATCAGGAAACCCAAAGGCTTAGGTCTTGCACCCAGGGGCAAGCGCAGTGACAGAGAAGCATGCTTGCATTCCTAAATATATAAATATATATATCCACAAGGAAGAAGAAAATTAAAGTAAATGATATTTTAAAAAAACAAACCAAACCAAACAAACAAACCAAAAGAAAAAAAAAAAAAAAAAGGCTGGCTTGTCAGGGGTTGGGGACGAGAAGGCTCCGGTGTGTGTACTTACATAGAGGTCAGCACCGTAAAATCCGTCCTGGTAAACCACACTGCAGAAAATCCACACAAAAACAAAAAAACAAAAAACAAAAAACAAAAGAACAGAAAACACATTCCGGTTATTGAGGACGGCAGCATGCACATGCGTTTTACACAGGCAGGTGATGTATGAATCCACAACCTGGGCTTTTGGCAGGAGCAAATCAGCGAGAGAATGTGTGTGCGCACGCACGCTAGACGGCTCCAAGTCATCTTCCATGGCATGCAAAGGGGGAAGGGGCGGGCAGAGGGGGAGACAGTATGCAAAGGAGAGAGGGAGGGGAACCACCATCTTGTACAATAAAAATAGACTCAAAAAGATCTGATGTCCTGAAGAAGAGAAACAAGGGTTTAGAAGCCTCCACTCTGGTTATTCTCCTGGAATGATTTTAGTTACCCCCTAAACACATGGTAACATTGGCTTCATGAAGCGGGCTTGTGAAATCGAGGAGCCCCTCAGAAGGCGTCCCACAGGGGCTGGAGTCACCTATGTCAGAAGCACGTTTCAGAGTTGTGTATGATTATGTATTTAGAGCTTCACAAGGCTGCACGACTTTGTTTCTGACATCCATACATCACCTGCTTTTACCCTGCACATTAGACATGCGATAAGATTTGGCTGATCACACAAGCATGCAAAGTATTATTATTCAGCATCTTAAAGAACCAATGCAACACCTCAGGAAAACAAGTCAATCAATTCTGATCAAAGTAAACACAGAGAAATGTAATTAAAAAGAAAAAACCAAAAATACCCACAATGCATTGCTTTCACAAGCAGAGATAATGAGCTAAAAAGGTTAGGTGACTGGTCCAAGGTCCGAGAATTGAAAGGTGCAGTGGGAGTCCCTGGTAGTAACGACCTATTCCATAGCAGAGAGGAGCAACTGGAAGGGTTTCCATGGGATGGTGCTTTTTCTGCTTTAAGCTATAGTTTTCTTTCTCTCAGAACTTCAAGCAGGAAAACTGTTAAACCAGAGCCTGGGGTTCCCAAAGAGCCGCTCTTAACAGAGCATTCGCTAGCGTAAGACTGTGCAGCTCGCTTTGGGGACAGGGGTTGGGGAAGGATGAGGAAGGAAGAGAAGGGATGCCCCCCACCCGTTTGAATTCAGCCTGTGCTTCATAATGAGGAATTTCCTCCTGCTTTGTCCTCTGAATAGCTCTGCACAAACTTGCTCAAGGCTTCAAAAAACATTTAGCCCCACCATCTGTGATGTTCATGGACCTGATGTGCATGACTTACCAGTAGCATTAAGGAAAAAGAAGGTATAGAACACTAGCTTTTCTTTTGATTATCATTTTTTACTCATCAGATGGAATGTGAAATGCTGCCAAGAGCCTGCCACCCTCAGACACCCACCTATTGTAAGACACGCACACACAAAAAAAGCCCAGCAGATCTTGCCAAAATTCTGCATGCTATTACTAAAAAGTAAAATAAAATATTAAAAAAAAAAAAAATCTGTTGCAGTGTTAGCTACTGCTTGAATAATTTAGTCTTGCTGTCTTCCCCAGGAAAAGTACACTCCATTCCCAATGGACAGAGTTACTATGGTCTCCAAGAGCGTTGGGAACAGATATGAAGATAGAGATCCTTGTTAGAGGAAGAGGGGAGCCACTTCAGCAGGGAGAAGCAGGCCATAAGATCATTTTTGTTGAAGCTAAATTTTTACAACCACATCACAAAGAATTTGGCTCCTGGGGCAGTGACTTACATTGCTGGGTTCTCTATCTAGGACCAGGAGTGTTTTAGCAGTGATACTCCACCTGCTCCTGCAGGAAAGGCAAATGCATGACAGAGGAAGTGACTGTTGGTTTATGAACAGGTTAGCAGTTTTAACAGTTATTCTGAACACAATCAGTTGGATGAATATAAGCATTACCACATTGGATCAGGCCACTACTCCTGTAACTTAGAATCTTGTCAGCAAGAGATGCTAGCATCAGCTCTCCAGAGAAAACTGCAAGGAACACTAATAACAAGTAAGAGTAAGACTTCCTGAGTCCAAACAACAAAGCACACGTGCATCCTCCATCTCTCCTTCAGTTAGGACTTGACTGACGCCAACTGCCAGGGCTGATATTTAGCAAGGTTTATTTATATGCTAAATATTCATATTTGTGATTCTTAATGCTAGCAAAAACTGCGAGAATTCCTTTATTTGAGAACCACAGAGACCATTCTGGTTATATAGACTGACCAGAAGCATAAAGCAGCCCATCAGCCCATCAAATCTCAGTGGCATCTACAAAAAGCCCACTAGCTGAGCTAAAACACATCCACGAGAAAAAGAAACATGCTAGTTTTGTAAAGCAGCCATCATATCATTTAGGTGTACCAACAGTTGACTTTGTTGTAAAAGGAACCAAAAAAACCACTCCAAACCCCCAAAGCACCCTATTGCCTTATATCTAGTACGACTTTTATCTACTTTTGGCTTCAAGTCAGTGAATCCTCTATATATTTACACTCCTAGACTAAATTATTCTTTACCATGGCAAGCCTACTCTTCATATAGGTACTTAATGACCATGAACAGGTCAATGCCTAATGTATAGTTTGAGAAACAAAATTGATCAAGCTCGTTTGTTTTGAGTTTTACAGTAGGTAAGTTTTTTTTCAGACTGATTTAATTCTTACAGCTTTTGGTCTGAAGTGTGATTTGTCAGCATTCTTGTTCAGAAAGCATGGCTGCTACAAAGCAGGGCAATATTCCAGTACAGGTTTTACTCATGCTACATATCAGAGGTTATAATGTCTCCTTACTTCTATTGAATACCGCCTCAGTTATAATTTGAAGGTTGCATTTGTATTCTGAAGTCAGGCTCAGGTGACTATCTAACATCCACTCCAATGGTCTGAGCAATTGCTTTTAAGGTATGAATAGCCTTCCCTGGATAAACGTCCATGTCCATACGTTAAGTATTTACATTCCACATATGCATTAGTAAATCTTAGTTCGAGTTCTTGAAATAAATGTTAAAACTATTAAGAACAATATGATTTCTTGCACCTTCCTCTGGAGTATCTAGCACTAGACACTGTTAAAACTTACTCTAACCTGAATGGCCCTCAGGTCTGATCCAGTATGGCAATTCCAACAAGCTTTTATTAATCTACATTCTGTATTTTTTTTACTTCTGCTAAGCTCTCAAATGCAGTGAGACCATTAATTTTTGTAACTTAAACACCACTGAGGTTTGTGAAAACCAATTCCTTCTACGAGGTTTGAGTCAACCTACAGCTTACTTTACTGTCTTCTTCCACATTACTCACTATGTCTTCATCACTCATGTGTTGCTGACTGATCTTACGGTGTCATCTTTCCACTGGCTAGGAAGAAAGCAGCTGATGCAGGGTAAGGTGTCAGGAATGTGTGCCTGCCCCTGACTCCATGGAGGTCACCAGTGCCCACATGGAGCGGTGGCTGTCCCAAACATTACTGCAACAAAATGTGCTATTCAGTTCCTTGTATTATTCCACGAGGAATCAAATTCCCTCTACAAAATATCTTGTAGATTCAGACTATGATGACAATAAACACCAGAATTAGTTAATTACATCCCAGTGCTTGGGACTAGGGACAGTTCTGGTCCATTTGTGAACCTGCCTTGTTTACTGCTGCCCTGCAAATGTTTACTGGATAGTATGCTGCCCATGAAGACATGAAATCAGTCAGCAGAGTCAGACAAACTCAACGTAACGTAAGTAAACACAGTCATGAGACAGTATTTGGAAGTGATAATCATTGGAGCCTGGCCCATATTCCAAATGGAAATAAACCTTTTATATGGGACTCAGGCTGGATTTATATCAAAGACAAGCCTAGAGTCCCTCCCAGTGCGCCACTCGTGACAGCCTCTTGCTAGGAATGCTCCAGCCGTTACTCCCAGGGATGAAGAGCACATCCCCCCTCCCCAGTGCAGTATTTCATATTCTGCTAGACAGCAGCACTTAGCTCAGCTTTGCTTCTCTGTTTCACTGTGGAGCATTTCCTAATAAAACCAGACTGGGTCATTTTTAGAGCAACAGACAGACAAGTTGCAGGTCAGAGGCTATGGTTAGAGGATATAGAATATGAACCAGGAGCAGTGGCAAAAAGAGGTGGATCTGAAAACCTAGAAGAAACACTGTTTGGAAGGCCAATGTGTTCAGACAAGAGGTTTCATTTAAAGTCTTCCAGTGAATTAAATTCAAAGATTGCCAGATTTGCTGGAGAGCAAAGCTAGACAGATACATGACCACTGCAGCTTGCTTCCTTAAGCTCCACTTTAAATATCAGACAGGACTCTAAAAAGAAAGGGCCACAGTAGCTCTTGCCACTTAGCCTGCTACAGAAGGTATTGCGAGCTTACCCAGCATATATCAGGCCAGCTCCTTGCACTGATGTGTGTGGCTTCCACCTCCCTTTTTAATAAAATATCTATAATTTATTTTTTTCCCTTTTGGGGCTAGTCTACAGGAAAAAAGGGTCAGTCCACTTCTCTGTGTTGGAGGATTCATTCCTACTCCTATTCTTTCTGAGAACGTTGCCTGTAAAATATGGCAAGTAAAATTCCAGAGACAGGCAATATGCATAAAGCATCCTCAAAATCAGAAACAAAAAAAAGATAGTTTGGAAGGGATTTGCTGATTTATCTGTCGTTCCATCACACTTAAACAAACAAAAACCCAAAACAAAACTCACATACAAACCTAGTTCCCTGTATTTTTAAACAGCAGAATACTCTTTTGTAAAAGCATCATTCCACTGCATTACTAGTGAAAAGTCAGAGGGCAAAGAATGCTAAGGCCACACATTCACCATTGCTTCATACAACAGTTAGAAGAACGCTGCACTTTCGTTCTCCCTATATCCCAAACACTCCCAACTTTAAATTAATGGACTTGATTAATCTTTGTTTTAAACCTTTTTAAACCGTCTCCAACAAAGAAAGCAAATCCATTGTGGGTAACTGGCTCTTGTGTGTCCTACTGCCAGATGGTGAGGCATGAAGGTAATGGATAATACTCCTCATTCCTGAATATGAAAACACAAGTGGAATGCAAAGAGCAGAACCTTTTTAGAAATTTTAGACCTTCTCTCTTTGCGTCCTTCTCAGCAGCGCTATAATATATTGGGTCAATGGATGACGAATACCATGTAGACAAATTGAGAAATTATAAGAAGGAATCCATCAGTGCTTTAAGCTGTTGCAAGTACTGAAAATTGTTTCAGTCAAGAACTTAACATGGAAAAATTTAGATTTGCCCCCACTGGATGCCATAGTGTGCAGAATGCTCTGGCACTAGCAATATCCTGACTCTCACCATCCAGACAATTTTAGTTATTTTTCGGTTAACCAATCAGCTATTTGACACGGCTGTGCAGAGCACTCTGCTCTTGTGATTCAGTGCTTACCCTGGGTAGGCAGGGATGGCTGTGGGAGGTACCGCCCGGACTGCCCCATACACTGTCCTTCCTCGGCCCCTCAGATGGGCTCCCCGAAATGCGGCTGCTGTGGTGGCTGCAGTTGGATAGGGGAAGCCTGGAACTGTAAAGACAGACAAGGTGGAGGGTGAAAAGGATCCGAGCTCCTGCCCAGAGAACAACCGTCTGCTTCAAACAGTGACACAATAGCTCCACAGCGGTGGGACATTTTGCATCAATCCTGCAGAGGGGCATGCTTATAACCCAGCAAGCATCCGATACATACTTCCTGCTACACCATGGCCTTTGGGGGAAGAGGGGTTGCAGAGAGGTTTGGCATGCAAGAGGTTAATGCTTTGGCATGCCTCACCCACCACAAACAGGGTACAAATCCCCCCGCCTTCTGACACCGCCATGCAGCCTGGTTAGAGTCCGAGAAGCGCAGAGAGTTACTATCAATATAGCAGGCGGCTCTTCCAAAACTGCAGAGGCTCTTTAAAATAATTTGCCAAGAGGCCCTTAAAGTCAACCAACTTACATCAGTCTCTTCCCTCCTTTCCCCTCCCACTCTTTGCCACCCAATCCTCTGTATGTTCATTTTAAAGCCTGAAAGACAAGATAGCCCATATAACAGCAGCAGAAATTTCCCATAAAGTGCCAGTTTACTGAGAGCCCACCTTCGTTTAACAAGCGCGACCAATATCTGGCTCCATGTATAGTGGGGCCTGCTTTATTACGCTTTACACTGGAGTAAACTGGCTCATGATGAAATGATGTAAAACCTCAGAGGCATCTGCAAACATGTAATAAACAGATACCAAGAGGAAAGGCGTCCCAGGGCGCAAACCCAACCCAACATGCGTCCAGGTGCATGCCACTGGGGGCCCTGCAGACTCGCGGTTTAGCAGCTTGTATAATATGTACTTTAGGGATTTGTCTGTTTGGTTTCTTTGATTTCAAAAGAGGGAGGGGGGCAAGGGAATGGCCTATTCCTCACACACACCCTCCCCTTGTTCTGCAGCCTCCTCATCACTCAGAAAGACCCATTCACCAGTACAGAAACACACTGCAGATGAACAAGTTACAGCCACTGCACAGTATACTTTGGCTCAAGGTAAACTCATTCCCAGCGAGACCCATCCTTTCAAGTATATATTATACAGACTGGAGAGAAGAAGGGTAACAGGTCATCATTAACTCAAGCACAGTAACAATACAGGGGCCAATGGGGGCTACTTACTGATTAAAGGAATGTAAGTGTTAATACCCCCCCTTCCTGACAGGGGCACTGCGGCGTCATTGCCCAGCGAGACATCTGCTTGAAAGCTGGACGCTGATTTAATTTTAAAAAGAAAAAAAACAAAACAAAAAACAAAAACAAAATGTAAAAAGGTTATAAAGAAACAGCAGATTGAGAACATAAACAAACACCACTGCAGTTAAACGGCAGAAGTGGAAGTGTCTACTTAAGCTCTACCTGCATATAACTCAGGGCCGTACACCGCTCCAACCACAGGACTCAACTTCCAACCTGAAACAACAAAGACTGCAGTGAATGCCAAAATCTACACCAAGAGAAGGAGTGGGCAGCGTGGGTACAGGGAACAGTCTTTTGCCTGCGCCCCAGCTTCACATGCACAGCTCTTTCCAATTTCAGCTTTGCCTCAATCCCCCTTGGTGTAGATGGAGGCCAACTGCCTTTTTCTAATGTCAGGTTCTAGGTATAGGTCGCTGTATCAGAGGGAACAGCAAAACATCAGCTGATCTGCAGCACGGCAGAGGCGCTGCTGAGGGAATGCCAACTACCTTATATGCATATTTGCCACGAGCACCGTACGACCCTGCGTTCCCTGCATGAACCTTGCTGCCAGCTCTTCCAGCTCCTCCCTGCTTTCACCGGGAACGCTGACGGATCCAAAACCTCTCTAAGGCCACTGGCCTGGACTGTCATCCCAGGCAAGTCAATTTATAAACTTAAATTCTCAAAACACCCTTCTGTCTTATTTGCTAGAGATCTGCTAAAAAGCAACAGTGTCTGAATTTCCTCACTAACTGAATTACACGACTATGGTGCAGAAAAGCAATTCAGTCTATTCAGCTCACATTTTCTCCTCTCCGTGTTATTTTAGTATTTCCTGTCTACTTTATGCTGCTTTTCAGGTGAAAGCCTTCCCAGAGAATTGATTTCAGTATCACCTGGATAATTGGCAAGAACTGCAAATCATCAACATAAAACCTACAAGAGAATAGTGCTTAAAGAAGTCATCGCTGGGATATGAGGAGGAACACACTTCATAGTCAGATCGAGAAACGTATCTATCGCACCCCCCACCTTTCTATCTGGGGAGAGAAGCAAGGGGTGCAAAGCTAGCATCATGATCTAGGCTGGCTTCCACAAAGCATTCCTTTCAGGAAAGATCTCAGCTGTTCAGCTAGCAATCACACAGGTATATTTATTTAAATAAATCCATACCCTTCCTCTGTCTTGGAGTCCTGATGCACTTACTGTGCTTTAACACCTCTAACCAGCCTAGAAACCACACGAACAACTTTGTGAACTGCAGCCCACCACCCCTTCGTCTGCTGGCAGAGTATCAATGAGAGATGCAATGCACGCTCCCTCCGCAAGACTGGGCATGCTGCCACTGTGCTGCCCACCTTGATGGCAAAATACTTGAGTGAGTGGTGGCAATGAGAGAACTGGGATCAACCCTCAAATTTAACAACAGTCATACGACCGCTCATCAGTATGCCTTAAGCCTGGCCTAATACTAAATACCTTTGCGTAGCTTTAAAGCTGGCTATAAATTGCTGGCTGCGAAAGCAAAATATTCCTGCCCGTTATCAGGGTTTCACAAGTAAGCCAAGTTTCGTTACCAAATAGTCATATGCATTTTCTGCCCTTGTTTTCAGGACAACATAACATGGCTGCAGTGCCTTTTACTACAAAACCTCCTGGTTCCTTTCAGACACCGAGACTCAGAATCCCAGCCTTTCTGCCTGCCCGTTTCCCCAATTCTGTAACCAAAAAAAGATTTATTTGCCAAGAGCCACACAACAAGTCAGTAGCAGAGCCACAAATAAAATTCGTATCTTCTGACTTCCAAGTCTTACATTGTAATCAAAACAGATTCTCACACTAGCAGCTACCTATATGCAGCTTCCTGCCCTGTTGAAGCTGTTTGGGAACATTTTCAGACCAAAAATAATTTTTCTGCCTGTTTCAGGACAAAGACTCAGATTCAAAATCTGTATCAAAGCAGCATTCAGTTCTGTCAGGAGAAGAACGACTTTTTATGCTATATATGCCTATGCAATAAAATTACTGCACAGACAGAAGAACCAAGATATCCTGATGAAACAGGATTCTTCATTACCCAAACAACTTGGTCTTTCTCTATTCAGGTTCACTGGAAAATGACTGAACACAGGCGCAGCCTGTAACAAAAAGTGAGCAAACAAGCAGCGCAATGCCTCTGTTTTCCCGGCTGCTTGGGGACAGCTCTATTTTTACAGTTAGAACCTAAACTGAGATATATCCAATTATGTATCCTAAGTTATGCTTCTGCATTCATATTTAGGTATCTACGTGATGGCAATGAGACTCAGGAGTACTGTACAGCATCAGCTTGCAGTAGTGGCAGGAAACCCATCGGTCCTTGGCTTCTTTTCCTAGCTTGGCCACACTGGGCATGTCACTACTCCTCTGTCCCCACTTCTCTATCTGTAACATGGTATCCCTCCATAAATGCTTAGGAATTATACTGAAGAATAACGCTATAAATTAGGGTTTGTGGGGTTTTTGTTGGTTTCTTCTGGTTGGGTTTTTTTTTAGTCCTGAGGAGAGGCTTTTCCCTCACCAGGAAGCTTTTGTCTTTCTTCAAACCTTTCAGCTCATCATTAGTACAGTCTCTCTTACCATTTGCGTAAGGTGTGACCATCTTCTTATTGGTCATCACTCGCGCTGTGGCGTTGTTAACCTAAAAGTAAGAAAGGGGAGGGGGAGGAGAGGGAAGGAAGCATAGGACATTAGGGAAAACGATGGAAAACTCTCAGATACCACACACGCACACACACACTATACTTCTCTGAGCAAAAAAAAATTGAACAACTAATTTTACAAGAATGCAATCTTTAAATTACTTTTAACAGTTGCCATTTAATTATAAAAGTTACAGCTAAACGTGGCACTTTAAAATTATGCATTAAACAAAAGGCCAACCAGAGTAAAGTGCAGATTCTCCACCACCCTGCCACCCCTTGGTGCGTGCTTATTTTCAGCTCATTGATCGAAAGGGCAAAACTTTGGAGGTTTTGTCCAGGTTCTGTTTGAGAGGCAGTGATAATTTCTGCAGCCCAGGGCAGGGGAACTGAACCAGGTGATGCACAAGCCGATTTGTTTCTCAAGCTCACCGTTGGCATTGGGGCCCAGCAGGTTGCTGGCAGGCGTACTTTTCAGATAGAAAAAGGTAGCCTGGAGTCCATCAGCTTTAGATTTGAACTCCCAAGGCTCGAGATTTCTGGAACACCACCAAGCATTTGGACAGTCTATATTCACCGATTTCTTCCCCATCGTTTTCAAATCTTTTTCCAGATTATTTTTTCCTTGTCACAAATCTCATGGATCAAAAAGAAGAAATACGTAGCAGTAGACCTGGGTCTTTTTTTTGTTTTATTGTGCCCTCCACCCTCTTTACAGAGCTCTGCATAGTTCGAAGCGGTTTGATTGCTCAAGCAAGTGGGGTGTTACCACAGAGATGGTGCTGATAAAGAAAAGATGGACCAGTTTGGAAGCCAAGTTACTGCAGCCCCGTGTCAGACAGCCTCAAAGTTCTTGCAAGGAGGGTGAAGTCTTTATACAGCATCAGTAATTTATCAAAACCCATGCCAAATGAGAATTGAGGCCAGGGTGAAGAAGAGAAAAAAAAAAAGGAGATAAAAATAAAAGCTGCCTTGGGCCCTTGAGACTTATGGATGGTGAGCGTACGCAGGGTGGAGTAATTTATCAAAACCCATGCCAAATGAGAATTGAGGCCAGGGTGAAGAAGAGAAAAAAAAAAAAAAGGAGAAAAAATAAAAGCTGCCTTGGGCCCTTGAGACTTATGGATGGTGAGCGTACGCAGGGTGGGGAGTCTGGAGCTACATTTACTCTAGTTTCAGCCCCAAAACAATAGAAACATTACACATTTAAAAAGAAAGAATGGGAAACAACAATGATGAGACTGAGAGCATGCAGTTAAACACACACAGATAAAAGAAAGAAAAAAAACAACACAATTGATTCAGAGGGTGGGGAGGGGAGGAGGGAGGAGATAGGGTCTCACAGACAATCATTAAGATGGAGCGAGTGCCTGAAATCAGCTGCTACAGCAAAGTGCAACACAAGCACTTAAAGGAAAAATTGCCAGAACCGATCAGAAACCACCAGTCAGCAAAGAGACCAACAGCTGCATTTAACTTAGTAAAGAAATAAACCAGGGAGGGGGAGAGAGAGAGAAAGAAAAAGAGAGAAAACAAACAGTAACAGCTACAAACAGGTCTCAGAAAGAGAGAGCAGCAGAAAGAAGGGGCAGGAGAGAGAGAAGAGGAAATGGGTGCATTAATAAAAACCAGCCAAACTGGAGTTCAGTAACTCTGAGTAAGATGTGCAAGGGGAAATCACCATGAAGTCAGTAATCAAACAGCTCAGACTGCTACAAAACGATATGTACATCCAAAGTCCAGGCGGCATTACTCAACAGCATTGAAAATAAAAGGGGGAGAAGGGGGAAGGAGGTGGGTGGGGACAACAAGTCAAATCACATTTCGTAGTGTTAATGTGAGATGGCAGATGGATTTTTTTCTTTCTTATTTAATTTCGTTTTTTTGTAATTTTAAGAAAAATTAAAAAAAAAAGCTTCTTCTCTAGCGCTTTTGTTTCACTTACCGCCAACTCGTACCATCGCCAGCATTGTGTATAGTTACCATGGAAAGAGTGAGTCAAGTGAAGGGCCCTAAACGCTAAACCATTGAAAAGGGAAATAAAAAAAACAAAAAAAAGCAAAATATGCAGACATCTTACTCAAAAACGGCGGCTTTTTTGTTTTAATATTTGTACTTTTTGGTTTGTTGTTTGTTTTTGGTTTGTTTTTGGTTTTGTTTTTTTTTTTTAAAAGAAAGAGGGAGAGAAGGAAGACGCCAGTTAGCCTTCAACACAGTGGAACACCAAACTGGCCAACACCAGCCATGCCCGATATATGGCCATGTTGGCCAGCCAACATTAACCCTTCACTCCCCTGCGGTGAGAGCTAGAAACTTTAAGGATTAGCTTTCACCGAGCCGACTCTTGACCGTGGGCAGGTCAAGAAACCAGCGGTGTGTATAGCACAGCCCACTCAGGGCTTCTGCCCCGTGTCTCCCCTCCCCTCCCCACCACAGGCATCATCTCGCACTTGCGTGGAGGAGAACTGGCCTCGGAGAAAAGAGAGGATACTGGGTGGCCCCCTGCTTTCTTTTTTGGACACAGAGTTAGAAGTCGGACAGTACTCTTTCAGTTAGATTTGTTCAGGCCTGGTAACAGGAAATCGGAGCCTCGCAAACTGAAGCAAAGGAAAAATCAAGACAGCAGAAGGGCAAAAATTTGGAGTGGGTGGGAAAAAAACTTAATAAAAGAAGAAAGAAAAGAAAAAAATACCCAAAACAACAATAAAAATATTCCGTAAGGGGTTTAAACTTTTATACATTTCAGTGCAGGGAGGTGAAGGACACAGACACAAACACACACGCACACACGAGACTGGGATCCAAATGTGAAATAAGTGAGGCAAGACACAAAAAGAAATCAAAAGAATAAATATAAAGAAGAAATTGAATTACTGAAGACATGCACCTCGATTTTACGGCCCTCTACCACGGTGCCGTGTAATTTCTCCCTGGCCCTGTCTGCATCAGCACTATTCTCGAAAGTTACGAACCCGAATCCCTGCATGCAGCGGGAGAAGGGGGGAAAACATGCACATCGTTATATATTGAAATACTGATCTCTAGGTAAATAGAGAAAAAATATCACAGTATGAAATCGACATCAGCACAACTCAGCAATAACCTCCTAGAGTCACATTGTTGGTTCATGCATGTTTCATAAATGAAAGAAATTAAATTCGATAAAATAAAGGATCTGTAATTATAATAAGAATAATAAGAGTAATTAAAAAAAAGAAAACATAAAAGCAATTGAGGCCAGACCAAAAAAGAAGTACAAAGTTACTCGAGACAATTTTTTTGTTGTTGTTTGGTTTGTTTGTTTGTTTAAAAACACTAAACCCTGCTCCGACATAGGCGAGCTGGTCAAGCCCAAGTGGGGCTTCTCTCCCCTTTGCTAATTAACACGCATGCTTTTCAGGACCCCCCCGCCCACCCCATACACAGTACAGGACATCAACACTGAGCAGCACTTCGTTCTCTTGAGAAACTGCTACAAGAGCGAGCAGCGATCTGAGTTCACGCCTGGCACCAGGAATTCTGCGAAGCTTTGGGCAAATCAAACACTGAACCTTGCTTTTCCCACCTGTAAAATGGAGACAATAATAATTACCTACCTTAGAAAACTGTTGAGAGGAAGGGCTGTTTGTAAAGCATCCCTTGTAAGCTCTTCGGGGCACAGCTCATGTCTACTCCTATGCCTGTAACTTCCCTAATAACGCATGGGGCCCTGAAAGTAAGCAGGGCTTCTAGGTGGCACCATCAAATAAACATTACTTAACATGAAGATTTAGTTTCACATATTCTAGTTTCAAAATTTTCCTATCTATGAGTACTGTGTTGGACTTGAGTGTAAATCCAAACACCTAAATACTGATTCATCAGTAAAGGCAGGTTTTGTCTGACACTGCTGACCCACTGCTACCTCCCTCCCACCCTGCTACCCATCTTACTTGGCTTTGTTCTGAGATGGCAACCTCTGCGCCGTGGATCGCAACAAATCTCTGCCTAGTTAGACCATGAGGTTTGAGGAAAAATTGACATGCCCTGCTTGGAGCAACCACAAAGGCTAGAAGACTACTAAAATGTCCCTTTAGTTAGATGAATTTAGGTTTACCGCATCCATGAAGGCACATGCAACACGCCTGTCCTACATGCTCATGCTGCTGCCAACTCATGCAGTCACGTAACAGGGCAGGGTAAGAGATCATGCTTCCTTCCACGGAGATGAGTGCACTGACATTAAAACAGAGCCAACGTGACTAAGTGAATTAGGATTTTAACTAGTAACAAATGGTATCTTACTACAGACAACTGTGATGAGATATTCTTCATGCCATTACAGAGAGTGGGGCCAAACAAACAAACTTCGTTGCATTCTGCTTTTAGGGTATCTTAATAACAGGAGTAACTGGCTCCTGCGGCTTGGTATAAAGCAAATACTGGTTTAATGCACAGAAAGTAATCTCTGCTGGCTCTGATACCCTCAAGAGCAGGAACAAAGCTTGCATTCGATGCAATGGAAATGCCTGATATTAACTGGAGAGTGAGGTGATGTGAGTGATCTACAGCTATGCCTTGTCAGGGAAATGACATGCTAGCCTCATGGCCCGCTCCGTGCAGCTCGGGGTCGGTATGTATGGACTGGACACCCTCCCCCCCCCCCAAAAAAAAAAAAACATCTTAATTTCTAAGCACTGTTAGCAACAGGACACAAGCAAGCCATCATTCTTCAAGTGCTTTTTAAAGGTCTTTACAATACTAATCTTAAAAAGCCCAAGCCGTTTGCACATGCTGACCTTTATCACCCACAGCTAGGTTTCCAGCACAGAATAGCTACACATTTGTAAAATGCAGGGGTTTGGGGGTTTTTTGTTTTGGTTTTTTTCTTTTTTTTCCCTGAACAGCAATAACAAAAGAACTTAGCCAAGTACTGCAATGTTGAGATCAACGAGAGCGCTCCTTTGGGCCCCAACCCAGTAATCTAAAGCTTCAGATAATTTCATTTCTCCAGCTATAAATAAAAAGCTATATAAATAACAAACTGATGCCTTTTTCAGAACAGCATAAAAGTTTTCTGTTTAAATGAATTAAAATTGGAGCTACAAGACATCAGGGCTAATAAAACAGCTCAACCACATATAACTCTCAAATATGTTGCAGGAAACCAGGGGGGAAGCGGGGGGTGTAATAGCAAAGCTGATTATGAAGGGACAGGGTATCCTGTCTGCTTCAAAGAACTCCTACAGGGAAAGGCAAGACTGAGAAATAGAGCAACACCTTTCCCTCTGGTTCTATATAATGGGGAAAAAGCATCTTTAAAAGGTTGGGGGAGGAGCAGAGGTAAAGACTGCAATAGGAATCTCTATTTCCCTCTTCTCTTTTTACATTAAAATTTGTTTGTTCTAGACAAGCCTGTGGAGACTGAATGAAATTTATGTCTTCAGTGATGATGCAAACTGAAAGCTGGAGAGCAGAGGGAAGGTAATTTTTTAGACATTAATCTGTGCAGGCTAGAACCAAACTAAGACTACTTTAATTCACATTTGTTTGCAATTAGTGAAGTCTGTATGGGATTTTAAAAGGCACATGATCATTAAATATCTTTAAACTGATTAGGAATTTTCACTATTTTTAGTAAGTTATCTCAAGGTAGGGTACAATCCACATGCAGACTATATGAAAATAATTAACAACGTGAATTAAAACAGAATTAATCTGATTCTGAACAACATAACTAATTAATGACAATTTTTGTTTTATTGACAGATCAGTCCTTAGCTCGTGCAACTCTTTGTTGAGAACCATTTAATGTCAATGCTAAATTAACGCTTTTCATAGTTGACTATGGCAGAGTCAGTATTTGTGCCCCCTTGGTTTGTCTTCTTAATGCATCTCTTAGACATTAAAATTTTCATCAGGAAAAATAGGTGAGCCACGCTTGACATTTTTGTTATTTCTAAGTTTAAAAACTAGCAATTACATATACATATTTTTGATGTGGGAGAGAAAAAAAGCACACACATATAATTTTAATTCCTTCTCACAGATGACCTGTAAAGAATAGGGATTAATTTGTACCTAAATACATATAAAACAAACAATTCTCAGTTTTCCCTCCCAAGGTTGTCTTGCCCTTAAAAAAAAAAAAAGGAAAAAAAGGAAAAAAAAAAAAAGAGGTGGCAGATGTTCAGTATTTACTAGCTTAGCTTTATAGCAGGTACTGGTTTGCTCCATAGTAGTAGGTATGGAGCCAGAGGAAGGGAAGATACAATCCTGGGTTAAAAAAAAGACTTAAGGTTTCTAAAATTTAGATTATACAAATAGCTTGGGTTTAATAAGGCTGTTTTGATAACAAGGCTGAAGTTTTCAACAATTCCTTTCCACCAGCAACTGCCAGGGACTTCTCCCAAGCAGAAAATAAGTTTAAGCTGCAGTGTACCCGGCGAACACTAAATAACCCCAGCAAACATTTTTAGGACTGGTGAGTAATTTGCAGTGCCAGACTAACCCCTTTTTACCCAAAGGTTTATTCAAAGGGCCTGAAGAGACCGAGTAACTGCCACCCTTTTAGTCTGGCCTCAGACTCTGCAATAAATAACAAGCAACATGATGAGCAGTGAAAAAAAATAATAAATGTATATATATAGTATTTGAACGTTTCCATCTCTGAAGAATGAGAAAGAAAATTTACCATGTAACCGTAAAGGGAGAAATCAAAAGCAGACGGTTCTCCTGGGTGTGGCCAGAACACAGAAATTAAACAAAACCAAAAAAAAGTAAAACAAAAAAAAAGAAAATAAAACCAAAGGAAACTAAACAGAGCCCTTTGAAATCCATGCATTGTTAACCCTTCATTTGTCACGGAGTTTAGACCAGTCACCTCAGCAGCAGCGTCTTTGCCTTGTACCACTGGAGCATGCAGCCAGCAACCGGCCTTGCCATCATCTGCTGCTGTGCTTGTTTTTAACCAAGTTTTTTCTCCCCCCCCACCCTTATTTCCATAATAAACAAACTTTTAGGAGCCTGAAAAAATGGCCAAGGAGACAGCAGTTTAGGCAACCTGTATCCAAGGCATTTGGAGAGAGTAGGAGGGTTTCAGCTATAATCCACCTGAGATGAGCAGGACTGAATGCACTGACAGAAACAGCATGAAATTCAGAAACACATTATTGAAGTTACACACACAAACGCACACACTAAATTGGTGAGGGAACTGGCGTAAACCAAGCTGCCACCATTTCAGCAGCTCTTCCAGCTCCTCCCTGCCCCCGTGCCGCACTTTGTGTGCATTAAGGCACATACGCAAAAAGCACCTGTCTGTGTACCTGTGCAATCTGGTGAACCAGGTGCAAGAATTAATCTGGCTAAAAAAACATAAATGTATCTTCAAAAAAAACCTGCAGGGCTATTTTTAAGCTGGATCATTTCCCCAGTCCAGCTTGTTGTGTTGCTCCACTGCCATTCCCTCCTGCAAAACCGAGGAGGAGGCAGAGGCTGGGAGTGAATGGCGGGAGCCTGGCCAGCACTGCTGCTCAGCGAGAGCTTGGGGCTTCAGAGCAGCTCCAGCCAGCTCGGGTCAGGGGCTTCACGGCCCCGCGTTGTCCCTGGTTGTGTGCTCCTCCTCCTCCCCTCGATCGATCGTGGATCTTACTGTGTGGTCTGTCAGTTCAACTAGCTAAACTGGCAGAGGACAAGCTCATTCCTCTCTCTCTCCCTGTTGCATCAGGTTTTTTTGCTAATTTAGCACCCTGGATTCAACTCCCTACACAGTGAAACAAACACTACTGGGAAGGCGCTCCCACAGGAGCAGTAAATCAGCTTATACTATCAAGCCATCAACTTCAGCCTTAAATAAATCAGTTCAGTGTATGGACTAATTTAACTCATTAGTTTAGTATCGCTGAGTTGAAGGCATAAAACTGTACTTCACTCAACTAGGATAAAGGGACACAGGTCATGCCTCCTTCATGCCACTGGCATTATAAAGGGATTTGATGACCTGAGAAAGCGACGCTGGTCTCTGGTACTTAATTTGTTATTAAACCTCTTTGTGTTAATAATACTATCTGTATTTCTGGCTCAACTGTATTTCTGGCTCAATTTTTTGTCTGAGCAAAAATTACAAAAATAGAATTAAAATGAAAACAAGACCTCTAATTTATTTTATTTAACAAGGGGTTGTATCTATTTCACTGAGCGGAAACTAAGTCCAGAACAAGAGTGGCTCAGCTCAAAGGGCCTAATCCATTCAAAGAAGAAATAAATGCACCTGCAAACATACAGTCTTTTAGGCAGTTATCAAAACCTAAATTCATATTCTTATCTTAACCTACAGTTAACTGCAAATATAAAAAAAACCCTAAGTGTTTCCTCACTTTTTAGTTAGCACAGGTTTACTTACAGAACTCCACTCACCAATAGATGCAATTTCTTTTTGAAGACAAGATGTAAGCTACTATACAACCAATTTTTTAATTAAATATGAAGCGCTTCTAGACACTTCAGTCCTATACAAGAACTTGGAGATCTGGGTCTCCCAAATGGAAGGCAGTGAGGGACATAAACTTATACTATCCTGAAACCACGCGCTTGCAATCTGCACTAATATGAACACTTACCATTTAAAAATCTAAAAAAAACCCAAAACAAAAAACCCCAAAACAAACAACAAAACAAACCAAAAACTCCCTCTCAGCCAAGATTTTGCTGTGTGCTTATGCACTCTTGGTCTCTGAATGTCATCGAGGGCACATCTTGGAATGCCACACGGTATGCAGCTGATGAGCAAAGAGCTTGGATTCCCTTCCCCTGCAGCTTTATGAATGCCACAGGGTACTCGTTACACAGGCAGACTGCATTAATTCTGCAAATATGTCCACTTGTTTGGTTCAGCACAACAGTGCCAAAATATGCATCTCCACTAACAAAAGGAGCAGGAATCCTTTCTCTCTTGACTTCCTCTGGAGGTGTTTTATTCACGGTTCAGTGAAGTGCATGATAAACTGCAACCATGAGCAGAATGCTATTTAAAGGCACTTATACAGGTCAGAACTAGAAATGTAATGGTAAACAGGACAAATGAAACAAACAGCTAGTTTCCTGGAAGCAAGCAAAATACCCCGAACACATCAAGGGAAGACTGATGTCATTCTATTAAGCAAGAATAAAAATTAAATTCAAGGGATGTTTAAAGTTTGTATCTTGTTTCTCATATGTAGCAAAGCAGCATCAGTATGAAGTTTACCAGGGCCCATATAATCCTACTAAACAGATTGAATCTGGGCAGAAATCGAGTTAGGAAACAAGAATTCACATTGCTTTGAGAGGAGAATCAGCAAAACTAATTATTAACTGCCTCCTACTCTGCTATGATACAGAAAGTCAACAAATAACATTTCCTAAGCCGAATGCAAGAACCTGAGGTGCGAGGTGGCTGCGAAGGACACATGCTGCTCTCTCTTTGGTCACCAAACTTCCTAAATATACAGAGATCCTGAAGATGCAGCCAGTTTGATTAGTTCCCCCAGGCTGTCGAAGAAAACTGCCTGGTCATCTCAGGTGGATTCAAAAGGAAGAATGCAACCCACACGCTTCCTCCAGTCCCTCCTACCAACCAGCACTAGAGCGATCCCAGCAGAGATCTCCTGCCACAGCTTGGCAGGGACAAAGCGCTGCTCAACCCCACCGTACACTGGGCGGGGACGAACCCAGGGCACTTTGGGGTTTACCACTGTACCTTTTAAATATTTACAAAACATATACACAAAACTACAACCCTTAGGAACCCAGGGAAGGGAAGGGAGCATTGAGAACACAGCACAAGGCAGGCAGCAGGAGCATCTGCTTTCGGATTCCCAAGAGAGAGGAAGAGGAGAAGAAGAGAGAGAGGTTTCATATCATTAGATTAGAATGGAAACCACAGGGCAGGAAAATGCATTCAGATTTTTTTTTTTTCCTTAAGGTGGAGGAAGAACCCAAGAGTGAGTGAGTGGCCTCCAGAAAGATCCATTTCCTTTGCTTCACCATCAGATCACCAAACTGTTGTTTTTCCATTATTATGTGAATACCAGGTGCTTCGTGCAGCTACACCCCACTCAAACACTGGGGCCTCCCATTTTCATGCTAAGCAGGAATAATCTTGCATTCTTTTTAAAACAGGAATTATTTTGGGTAGAGAAGGATGCAAAGATACCACAAAATTACTCTTTGGGTGTTTTCTCATTCTGTTCAGATTCTGCCCGATCCCTCATACAGGCTCTCAGTTTTGCAACTGCTTTTTGCTGTAAGATGACAAAAAAGCAGTAGAAAACTGCATGGTCAAGGACTGGAAGAACATCTCTTTGGATCACTTTCTTTTTTCATACATTTATTAAGTGTTCAGGATAAAATTTGTCAAGGAACTCTTCAGCAATAATTTTTGTTTTAACTGAAAACCAGAAGCCTTGGGCTTTAACAAGTGCACAAAAAGATACTTTTCATAGTCATAAATCTTCACAGAAAGCCTCCAACATTAGTGTTGCCTAGAAGGGAAAGGGCAGCCGTTGGCGTTTAATACAGGGCTGTATGGATGGAAGAGAGAGAGTAAAGTTCATGTGTGGAGAGAAAAACACTGTTCTGGAAAGCACAGGCAGTGGGGAACGAAGGATAGGGCTCACCACTTTGCCAGGCCAGTTTTGTTTTGTTTTTTTTCTTTCTTTTGCAATTACATCCAAACAAGTAGGGATTTGATAGAGGCCAGAGGCTATTCCCAAAGCCAAACAGAAATGACTAAAATCAAGACTAATTCACAGATAGCTCTGGCTTATAAGTATCAGAAGAACAGCAGAGAGCAGAATAACTATTTATAAACTCAGCATAGCTGATTGTTTTGGTAAAGCATATAGATTTTTATCCACAAAGGGAAATAAAACTCTAACTAAGCCATATAGACATTTACTTGTTCAGGACTGTCTTACTAAAAAAAAAACAAAACACCCCAACCAAAAAAACCATGGTATTAAGCACAAAGGATGGGGAAAGGGCTAATACTCATTTCTTTCGTATACAGATCAACTGCTTTCTGGTTTCCAGCTAATACAGAGACTGAAGAATTTCAGAATGCATCTTGGGCAACATGGGTGGAAATTTGCAGAGGGCTCTGAACATGAACATACCCTGGAATATATGTTGAAGCAAAGAGGCCACCTTAAGACTGTGAACCTCAAATCCAAGCGAAAGGCATAGACTCTAAACCAAAACTGCTTAGCTGAATTGCAACTTCAAAATCTCTTGTGTGCATGCACACATGTGTGCACACGTGTGTGGGGGGAGGAGGGAAATTTTGTTTTAATTGAAAATGGGAATCTTAGCATTGATTAAGTCAAGCAGAGTATAGACATGCACTGTGCAAGCTTCCCCCATAGAGCTTTGGCAATGCACCTCGCTCCTGACCTGCAAAACTCCCTGCTATTCCAGTGCTGAACCTCCTGGGCAGAGAGAGAATCACATCAATTTGTCATTGTGGTGATACTGGTTATGTGATGAGAACCAATTGCCAATTAGGACAAAGATCACTGAATCTCTCTGCAGCTGACCTGAGCAACATTTGAAATCTCATCTCCAGAGAAATAAGTTACCATTAACCCTCAACAAAACCTCCCTCTTAATATATCTGTACGATGAAAATAGGTGTGTGAATGCAAATTCAGCGGGGAGAGGTCCACACGGGGCAGGGCAAGAGGAATGAGGATGCTTATATTAAGCATCAAATATCTCAAACATGAAAGGTCAGTATCTCAGAAGTGCCAAGTAAGTCCGCAAAATAGAGTAAATAAAATCCTTTCACATATGAGATATGACGGTTTTTCTATAGAAGTATTTTAATGCAACAAAAATGTGGTTGGGGGGGTGGGTGGGTTAGGCTTTGTTCTTACAGTCCCCCATCACACAAAGCTGTTTTACCTAATTCTGCCTTCCCCACAGGGCACCCATTGCTAGTGCAATGCAAATGGGCTGGTATGAAAGCTCGAGTGACTGACTCCCTGTGTGTTCAAAACGCTGGGGAACCTGATCCCACATTAGAGGCAGGAGTGTCTAGGAGCATTTGTACATGCTGCCCAGAAATGACCATGCTCAGAGTCTGGAGTCAGAGGGACAGAAGACAGCCCCCAAAATAGCTTTTCCCTTCCCCCATCACACTAATTCCTGCTGATCTCTACAGAGTATATTCTCTAGGCAATGAACTGCCTTTTACTCTGGAATCAAAACAAGAGAAGCAGGTACAGAAACAGGACTTACCTTGGAGCCACGCTCATTAAAGATTATCTCTACATCAAGGATTTTGCCAAATTGCTGCAGAGAGACAAGGGGAAAAAAAGATTTATTTTTGGCAATCCATTTTTCCTACCTTTTAGGAGCTGGCTTAGTGCAAGAAGGGAGGTGAGATATTTCCATTTCTAGCATACAGGCAAAGGCATAAAATCCCAGTGACGTGACCCAGTTCTCTCAGGTTAGGACATACGGATCCTCTTGGTCACAGACCCCAGGTTTTCTCACAAAAGTCTAAAGGAAGAAAAACAATCTCCCAAAGAGTTTTAGAGATTTGAGGTGGCTTTTCTTTTCCCCCTTTTAATCTAAACAATTCTTTCTTCCCTCATTCTACTATTTCATCTAAGACATGGTTACATGATTTCATCTCAGACATCTAACAACATTTCTCAAATGTAATTCAGCATTTCATCTTCCTCCTGAAGTGGCTATCACAAAGAGAAACTTAACAGTGATGATGTTTCTCTGAAGGGGACAGTCACATAAGACTTTCCTCCCCCTTTTTACTTTCCAAAACTCCAAGCCTTCAAAAGAATCGCTGGCAGATTCAGAAACCATGAAAATGGCCAACCCCCAACAGTTTGTTTTTCAGAAAAATATCATTCAACTTCAACCTGTGACATACAGCAGGCTGTCGATAACCCACGCAAGTTTATCATGTATGATACAATTCTGACCTTTGCCTCAGCCTGGAGACCCCAAGGAGAGCAGGGCCCCACTACTCTGCACTGTTTCAACAACTGGTTCCAAAGAGCTCCCTACTTAGCACAGAGCAAAAATGGGAAACGAGAGCTACAAGCTAGAAAGGAGATTTGCCACACTCTGTGGAACCATATATGGATCACATCCTTCACCTTGGAACATATTAAAATATTTTTATTGAACTGGCCAGATTCAAACCAGTAACCTATAGGTAAAAGCATCACCACTTCAACAGCGCCCCGCAATACTCTGCCCTCTAGAAGTGTCAATGTTGTATTTCCAAACCGGAGGTCTGCTCTCCAGAAAGACAGGTCTAAGATCTCATTTTCAGGAGCATATATACAGAGCAGTCTTCATTCTAGAGATGCATATTGCGCTCAGACAGATGCTGTATCTGAGCATTTTTCTTACCCCATTGTTTACAAAAGCTTCTGTCAACATGGTTTTGATCTCACTGCTTGCAGAAGATTTAAAGTTGGTAGCAAATGAAGGAAGGGTCAAAAAGAGAAGAAAGGATAGTTTCACAGTTTGGGAAGATGATGAACACAGCCTCCGGGCACTGGGACACTCTCCACTTTGCCACGGTGCTCTTAATGTAGTACTTGCCTTTTTTTTTTAATTAACATTTCCATTCGAAGTCAAATGGGTATAACACTTGTTTTGTGGATGCCCTGCCTGAAAGACTTGCGGCCAGATTTGCAAACATGGAACATTTACAACAGTGAGCCATGATGACTGAGGAGAAGCTCTGAATATGTAAAGCAATAAAAAGCTATTAAGTCCCTTGAACAAGTATTCCACAACTGCCTTTAAGCAAACAAAATGATTCCAACAATTTTAGCTATAGTTTCTGTCTGCTTCCATTCTCCGTTCTTAAAAAGGAGATAGTTGTATTCTTTTACAAATATTGGTTCACAGATGTTGTTTTTACTGTTCTATTGTTTAAGGACAATACTTGATCTTCTATTCATCCCGAGAACAATTGAATTCACAACATCCCACGTTACATGAAGTTTGAATAATGCTAATGTAAACATGCATCTTCCTTGAAACCTCAACATCTCAACAGTTTAGGCTAGATCCATGCTGGATCCTCTTTTGACCACTGCTGTGCCAATCACAGCTAAAATACATTTTCTATTTCTATCCCACACTTGCTGTGGGCTTGTCTATAAAGGAGATTAGCCGTTGATTGCTTTTTGTTGTCTTTGTTGCATATGGCTTGGGCACTGCCATGAAAGAAATCAGTCATGATTGCTTTCTTGGTAGACTATTTCAGTGTTGTTACACGACAGGGGCTGAACCAATTTAACAGCTTGCGGCTGCTGAAGGGCTGTCCCTGCTCCCTTGTCCTTCCTTGTCTGGTCTTACCAGCTTCCTAAAGCTGGCCCCAGTTTTCATTCTCACCTGTAGATAAACTGAGATAGCTCACCAATCTTGCAAAAAGCTAGCCCAACAAAAGGAATAAATACAAAGGTATTGACGATTTACTGAAGTGGCTCAAAGGGTCAGGTGAGCATTAGGGCTCTGAGAAGCAAAAGGGAGTGGGAAAGCAGCACACCCTGCCCAAAAGCAGGCTCTGTCCCTGCCAGATCAGCTCAGCTGCCTAGCCTTGCCACACACACTGAAACAGCCAGGCTCTCAATAAATGCAAATGCCAAAATTATTTTCAGAATCTTCAAAGCCATCAAAAAGCACTATTTTCTACCTCATTAGAATCATCTTGAAAGAGAACAAACTGTGCAGCTTCTAGTGTACAATTATGCCATGCCATCTTCCCCTTTCTCCACACCCAGCTGGGCCTGGATCCTCAGGTATTACTGCCAGCCCCGTTCGGCTAAGCTCACTGCGCAGGGTTTCCACACCAACAGGAAATCCTGTCTTGCGTGTTTAATTTCTTGTGGCTGACAAAAAGCTGGCAGTAACGCTGAATGCAAGTGGTCTGACCTAGCTCCGTGAGACGTGGCAGGGCTGCCTTCCCTGCCCTGTAGATGATGGAGGTACGTCGCTTCCTAGATGACAGAATTAAGATCACCAAATCCTGCGGTTGCAGCGAGCACAGGCTTGATGTCTACTGCAATGGGCTACATCCACCCTTGCAAACTGCCCCAGTCTCTTTTCTACCTAGGAGTTGTGGGTGTTTGAAGAGGCAGGAGGTAAGGACCCACTTGGGAGAGAAGGAGCAGAGACAACAGGGGCTAACTGCTGAACTGAGGTTTGCTGATGAGGGGTTTCCTGCCCCATGAAATTCCCTGGAAGAAAGCAGCACGGCTGCGAGGCAGGAGGATGTGCACTGGGCTCTTCAAGACTCTGCTGCAGCCATTGCCACAGCTGCTCTGACAGCTCCTAACACCATGGCTCTTGTCCTCACTGCTGCAATGGTTACAGCAGGTCCAGCACTGGAGGCACTTTTTTTTTTTGGTAGAGTGCCAGAATTTTCCTGAAGAATGAAAGCAGAAAAAAAGAACTAGTTCATTTTAACAGTTTATATCTCCTTCAAAGCTGAATCTAATTTAGTGGAACATAAAAAGGCACTTTGTTCTCTGATGGTGCTTCCCCTACCAAATGTCAACAGCCTACTGCAAACAATGGAAGTTTTAAGAGCTCCTTAGTGAAAGGTCACAATTTTTGTATGGAAAATGCTAGGCCGTCTAAATACAAGGGTCAACACCAAATGCCCCCATAGTAATTTTTTAAAATCATGTATACAGGCGTGTTTGTATTTTCCAGCAGACAGAGGGTCTGGCCAAATAAAACAAGACCCATGCTTAGGTCATCCATGAGGCCTAACCCTCTAATCTCTAACCTTGAAGACATGAATCACTATGCTCACAGACCTGATTTGTTCACTCAATGATTACCAAGAACTTCTACTTACAACCCTGCACAGCAGCCAGGGGGGAAAAAATCCTCAGCAGAGTTCACAGCCTCTGAAGAAGGCACTGCAAGACTACACATCTCAAATGCTCCCCACCATGACTTAAAAAGCTTACTTATGTGACCAAGAAGCGAGCATCCCCCAGCGTATGTCAGCTTGTGCAAGAAGCCTCCTCCATGAACTGCTCGTGCACACGCCATATGATGGATAGATATACACACACAGTTCCAACCGTGCCATGGCATAGAGGCTATAGCATCTTGTTTTATCTTAATGCTCCGTTCCCTGGAGTGACCTTGTACCAGCTTTTAGTTATTTTTCTGTAAAGCAGGTAAATGAGAATCATCTCGTCTACAATGGTAGCAGGAGCTGTTGGAAATAACAGTTTTAAGAGGCATAAAGATATTAACAGACATCAGCTATGACCAGAACCCAATTTTCTTGCTTGAACATGATGTACCTTATCATAGATGCAAGGGCATTGTGCAAGAAAAGGTATATGCATGCTGTGTGTTTCTTTCCACCCAGATGACATGAAGGCAGCAGATTTTTCCAGCAGAGGCCATAACTACATTACATATAATAAATTTAAGAGATCTGGCACCAGAGAGCTTTTGCCTTCCAAGGCACTGACAGTTTGGTAGGGCCCCTCCTGTATGCTCTGTTCCAGCTGGCCCTGCCTCCTCTCCTTGTCTAGAGCTTTCAAAATCAGCTCCAAAACGTGCCAGACAGATAAGTTAACCCTAAAGATGCAAACAACAGGGAGTACAAGGCAAATTCTCTAGAAATCACGGAACAACAAAAGGTAACGTGAGACACCATGCAACAACCTCACATCCCTACAAGAGAACTCTGTATGCCCAAGCAGCTTTGCACTGGCCCTACAAAATTCACTGAGAGATGAGTGCAGTGAACTATCCAAACCTCGAAGGTGCCAAAAAGCCCATTCTCAAAGATGGCAGAAATTCAAAATAGCCAGGAAACCAACCTCCTGTGCAGGAAACCATTTCAGGTCCTCAGGCTTGAGGTGCGTGAGCAAGAGCATTTCATATGCAGGATAGGTCCATGCTGCAGAGAGTGTCCTTACCCTAGCTCCCAGCTCCATGGGATATACTTTCAGCTGAGAACAGCTGGCTCCATTGTAGCGTGTATTAGTCAGTGCTTAGTTATGGCAGCATGGGGTCTGCCAGAGCTACGCTGCTATCAGTACATGAACTTCCTCACCTAAAGCTGGGTCACATCTCTTCAAAATAGTGGGGCCAACCCTGCTACAGTCAACCCTGTTCAGCCAAGCTACACCAGTATGCTTTGCTGACAGGAAGATGGAAGCATCAAGGATTTATAAACCAAAGCACTACCATAGTTTACCAACTGAACAGACAGTAAACAAGCACCAACAAGCCCTTATTATGGTTGACCTGTTGCCCAGCAAAACACAGATGTT